TGGGGGGGGGGGGGCTGATATGTCTATAGGCTGCCTACTTGAAAAATGAAACTTTTTTTTGGCTTAGTAATTTTGTTAGAAATCATCAGTGTTTTTCAAATTTTGACACTGCACTTGTTTTATTCTTCAAAATATCACTTAAAACGTCTCACATCTGGTCATTAATGAGCAAGAAGGTTTTGTTTTGTGTTTGTTAATTAACGAATTTCACATCTTCGCTGATTTACAACAATTCCATTAATCCTCCCACGCTGGCCGGGAGCCTAATTCAAACTAAGAATGAGCGAATCAGAAACACTTCATGTTTTGGAATTTCATTTTCTTAATGAAATGAGTTTTGCAACTGAGATGAGTCAGGCCACGAAAAACATTATCATGTTTAAATTACAAGCCGAATATTGTTAGAAAGACGGACGGTGTTATAAGTACGCTATTTAAAAAAAATAATATAAAAAAATAGCCACAGCTGGAAAAGCAGAAAAAGCTTCTCAAATAATGTAACTCTGCATCTCTTAAAAGGAAAAAGACAGAAAAAAAAAGAAAACATTTCTACCCGAAAAGACAAATGTATAAATTTAGACTATTATAGTTTTTAAATGTTAAAGCCCAATTTTGTGGAAATATAATACTAATATTCTTAAAACTGTTTTGATTTTTTTTAAATGAACGCCTTTAAGGGAACGTTACGCAGTATGAAGGTAGGGTCAGCCTCGCCTGGTAAGGAAACCACAGGCCTTTGTGTTGTTGAACCTTCCATGATATAAAAAAAATGACGATATCATTCATCATCATCATCAACAACAACAACGACGACGACTACAACGACTACGACGACGGCGACGAGAGAAAGAGAAGGAAGGGGGGAGAGAGGAGAGAAAGGGGACATAGAGAGATCGAGAGGAAAAGAGAGAGAGAGCAAGAGAGAGAGAATGAAAGAGAGAGAGAGAGAGAGAGAGAGAGAAGGAGAGACAGAAAGAGAAAGGTTTAAAGAGAGAGAGAGAGA